CACCTGGTATTCCCAAGCAGTCACCCATCTTGGTACTAACCAGGTTCAATGTTGCTTAATTTTGGTGATCATACAGGAACCAATGTTTCAAAATGATGTGACCATGAGTAAGATAACTCTTGGATAATAAATTTTTTTCTTCTTCAGCTTTCATATGCTTGGTTGAGTGTTGTAGAAATTATTGTTTTTTCTTTTTTTTTTACTTTTGCTATAAAACAATTTCTGTTCAGAATACTCTTAAAAATAAAATATATAAAATTTAACATTTTACTTAGCCTATAGTACTCATAGTTTAGTTTCATTTGTCTAATTTGATATTCCAGTAACAGAATTCAACCTATTCTAGTAACTAAGCTGTATTAGAAAATACAGTAATAATTTTTTATAATGATCTTAAACTCAGAACTAAAAAAACTTCTTACCTATTGAATTTCATAAAACTCTTTGTATGAAACTTCAATTAATATATTTCTCTTTACAGTTCTAATGAAATAAAAAGAACATTACTGTTTTTTTTTCTCAAGTGTTCTTCATATTACTAATCTCATTCTTTTTGTTGTTACCTTGATATTGTGGTCAATCTATACTTCTTGTGTACAATATATATGAAATAGGAAGAGAGATGTCTTCTTTTTCCTTTGGGTAGTATTTTGCAGTACAATAAAACAGAAAGAAAATGGTATACTGATACTGACCAGATTAGCTATTTTTTTTCTATTTTTGTATCAGCCCAGAATGTTGTGATAAAAATGCCATCTCTAAAATTAAGTACATTGGTAAGTGTAGAAATTTAAAGGTTAAATTTGTTGTTAACTGGAACAAGAAGTGGCTTGTTAATTTTAACACCTCTAAAATGAAACTGCACTCTATTAATCATCCTAAAGAGTCTTTTTTACTGTCTATCAGCATGATTGATGCTAACCTCTAGGAGAGCAACTCGCTACACCTTCTTGATACTCCTGTCACATTTTCTACTGACCTAAAGTGAAATGACTATATTGAATAAATTGCTAAGTATGCTGCAAGGAAAGTCTATTTACTGCCATATTAGACAATAATTTCTCACCACTCTCAATTTTTATTGCACATTTATAAGTTTAATATTCATTTATGTGTTGGGGCAGTAAAAATCTTTGTCTTTACCCATCATTATCTCCACGTTAGGGAAGGACATGCGTATATTGTTGTATTTGTTTAACATAAAATAAAACCTTTTCTTTTTATAAATAAGGTTTTTGGTTATCTTGTTTTGTGACTAGAAATCTCATACTTGTATATGTATCAAATATTGCTGCCACATCTGGTCCAGTGCTTCTGGTATATATCTAGAGATTCTTGACAAAATCTAAAGAATTGGCAGTTTTATCAGTCTTGTCTTGGCATCTTGGCTTCAGTCACTTTTCCTTTATTGTAATGTAGATTCTCTTTGACTCTTCTATAAATATTTTCACAGTAATTGTTCTGAGAAACTTTGCTCATTGGTACATTGACTTTACAAATTTAAGTGCAATACTAAATTGGCAGTTAGGTTTCATAATATCACTATTGAAGTTGCTAGTTGTAAGCATAAGTTTTATGCAAATTGTTTCTTCTCCTGCACTTCTTGTTTATGGAATTCTCTTCTTGCTTTCCTATCAACTATAATATTCAAGAATTTAAATCATCATCTACTTGAATCCTCTTCCTATATTAGCTCCCCATGTTTCTTTCACTCTCAGTAACACCCTTGTGTCCTAGTGGCTTTATTGCCTTGCTTAGGATGAAATGATACAAAAAAAAAGAAAAACTGGCAATAAAATTATAGCAATAATAAAACTACTTCATCTAATAATTCTAGATTTAATTTAATTAAATACAAATTTTAAATTCTAAAATCAATCTTGGAAAACATTCGCACACCCACATTCATATTTCCATAATTTGTATTCAAGGCATGTCATTTATAATGACAAACATGCACACAAATGTTATGGACCATTTATAGATAACATATTAACAAAAACAGCTCAAATATTATAATTTTTATAAAGCCTGAAAATCTATTTTCCAGTCTTAAAGCTACAAGTTTGATTTGTTGATTAATGTGAAAGTTAAATATTATGGAAAGTAATGTTTAATTTTTGGAGAAAAAGTATAAAAACAGCAGATAAATCAAGTTAAATTTATTTGTCAAAAAAATGATCATCATTAACAATAATAAAAAACCCTCTGTTGAAAGCAATTCTTTTATTTCTTGTTGAAAGAGTGATATACTCTCTCTAAAATATTCACCATTAACAATGTGATTGTTTAAACTTTCCCTGAAGTGTAAAGCAGAGAAGCTTGCCACTTTTTTTTTCTTTTTTTTTTTCCCTGTTTGGACAGGCTCACCTTGACAAGCTAGTGACATCTTTGTAAGCAATCAGACCACTTTTCTTACCATCAGGTGATGTCAAGTAGTATGTATTGTACTTGAGTCTGTTACCCCTCTTCCTCTCCCACTGCATTTGGCAAACCTGAACATGTTAGCCTGGGTTGATCACCGGGCACTTGTCTTATCATTATTAAAATGTTGGCAAAGATTTAGTATGGCAATTATTATGTATTTATTTATTGTGTACAAACAGATAAAATGCATTCAGGCTAAATAGATTAATAGTTGGGTACCTATGTTCTTTTTGTCATATCAGTCTTATTGAATTTTTAAATATCTTGATTAAACACTTGTGAAAATATTTTGTTGTTTTCATTGTTATATTATTTCTGTTTTAGATTTTACAAGTCCTTTTTCATTATAAGGTTATAAATTTATTTAATCTATTTGATAAAAGTTAATTTTCAAAAAAATTACAATTGGTTAGTGAACTATTAAAGGTGCAAAATTGTAACTGGTTGGAAGTGAAAAGAAGAAAAATCAAGATTTTTTTTCTTCTTATTGGCTGGTATGTGCCATTTGGCCTTAACAAATTTACTCCAGAGATGGTACATGGGTGAGCATATTCAGTTAAATATCTATTTGAGTGAAATGGGACACAAGGCTGTGTTTGAAGTGTGAGTCCTATCCATACATACATAGAACCAAGAACAAAAATTGCTCAAACCCCATCAGTACTTCTCCTTGGGGACACCTCAGGCTACAGGGATTAACCCTAGTTCTGTCCTATAGGAGAGATACTGTCTGATTGTGTCTTTGAATAAAATATTTTATTGTTTTGGATTGTGACAGGTAAATAAATAACCTTAAGCTTTGAATCATAGTTGGGATGTCCTAAGAAAATATTTGTTAATAAAGTCAGCTGTTAATTTCTTTAATAATCATAGTTATTTGTTACTTAATAATACTTTTAAGACCTTTTTTGTACTACCCTTTAACTTTGTGTATAGAAACACATTGAATCTAAATAACAGTGATTTTTGCAGGTTTTCGAACTCATTAAAATGCAAAAAAATAGTGCAACCATTGAGATAGAAATGATCGTACAAAACGTAATTTATCAGTTAAAATAAAGTTTAATAATCTTAAGAAAATGATATGAATTTCAACCTAAGTTCAATTTGTTCATAGCAAACATTAAAATCATGTTTGCTTTTTTTTTATAACTACTATAACTATTAGAAAGACTATTTCTGCAACATTCATGATACATTAGAACAATTTTTGCAGTTAACTTGAATTTTAGTCTATCTTCTTTATTTCCTGGGTCTCTTCAAAACATTGGCAATTATTGATTTTCCAAAACTTCCTCTTCTTTGTAGCTCTTAGTGATGTTTTTTTTTTTTTTTTTTTTTTTTTTGCTTTTTTACTATCCTTCCCACTCCTTGTTCCACCATTCATTTACACCAGCTTGTTAAGTAGGTTACTTGCAGTTTCCCCATCCCTCTTGTCATCAATATGTTCTGGAAGTGCCATCTTTCCTCATTATGTGTCCCAAACATTTTAACTGTTTCTGATTCTCTCTAATTGTCGTATATTCTCACTTAACAATATTGTTTAAAATTTGAATCTTTATTTGTAATTAGAAGAAATACATTTTTATCTATATGCTGTTTTCCTTCAGAATGTTGACAATCATGTCTCTCTACAGCTTCCTGTCTTTTCTTACTCTCCTTTATGACTCCTATTTTATCCTGTTGCAATAACTTAAGTATGTATTTCCCAGTTTACTTTGTTTCTTCTCCTGTCTTTTGTGTGTCCTGTGAATGTTAAATTCTCCAAGTATTCTTTTCTCATTATCAGCCTCCAAAATTTCTGCTGTCTCTGACTGTTACAAATTTCGTATAATTCCTATTCTCCTTAGAACTTTCTCATTTGTTGCATGTTCTGTTCATGGAATTCTTAACATTTTTATCTATAGAATTACATCTCAGTTGCTTCAAACTTCTTCATTTTTGCTGAAATTGCCAATCTTTCAATATTAAACCAAAAAGAAAAATAAAAGTAAAAAAGTTGAGAATATTTATATAAAATACTTGAATGGATAAATCTACTGAACTTGAAATCTTTGTTCATGAAATAAATACCAGCTTTTAAGTAATTTTATTTCCACTGAAATTAAGCGTAAGTTAACAAAAGCTGAACTTTTGTATTACCTACCCTCTCTTTTTTTAAAGGCTATGGCTTTTACTCATGGAAGACTGTAGAATCATATAAAACTCCTTAAGTATTTTTTCTTTAGACATTTAATTGCTTGTAATCTTCTCTTTTCAGTGTTGGTTAAGATTGAACTTTGATACTTTTAATTTTTCAAGTAGTGTTTATTGTGTTTTTGATTTGAATAATATTTAATTCCCATACTTTAAAAATATTTTTTGCTTATAATTGTTTGATTTTTGGTACTGTAAAACATTTTTATTTTCTTTCAATTTAATTTTTTTCTTTAATTACAGAATGAGCATTTTTAAGTGACTTATTTATTAGACATTATCTACAGAAATAATTTTTGTCTTTCATTCACTGTAAAAGTTGTCTAAGTCTTCATTTTTTTCCACCCTAATTTGATCCAACTTTCTTGCTATTTCAGATTGAGACACGTGAAGATGAGGAACAAAACGTTAAACTGGAAGAGACTATTGAGCTGTTGCGATCTGCAGGATACTTTAGGGCCCGTATCAAGGGTCTCTCTCCATTTGACAAGGTAGCCATATTGATTCGTAATGTTTTATTCAATGGAATCAAATATTTTTTTTCTATTTTTAAAGAACTAACTTTACTTGAATATCTATTAAAAAGAATTTCAACATCTTGGATCATAGTCATTGGATAAAGTGTGTTACTTGTTCTTTTCTTTGAGAATATTAAAAAAAAATAGGTTAAATATATACAAATCTCACAGTTTTTCTTGAAAAATGAATGTTGATAATCCATTTTGGATTAATTACAATTAGTCCAAATGATGAACCTATCAGTAATTTTAAGCTTTGTTATTAAAGAGACATCCTTTTATAAGTTTGCAAACATTGTAAATGTTAGCACATTATCAGAAATAAATATCAAATATCACAATTATTGATCACATGCATCTGCTAGTGATCCATTGGAGTGGTGGGAGTAATAAAACTAAACACAACTCACTATTCTGTAATTGAGAGTCCTTGCTTTATTTGAATGTAAAAAAGAGAGAAAGTTTAAACAAAGGATAAGGTACCCCCCCTACCACCACCAGATTGTCCACTTCTGGCAGCATAGGCTTCAGTCCACCTCTATGCCTTGTGACAAAATGCTGGGTGGTCAAAAGGCAGATACAAATGATCCTGCATACAAAAGCTATGCACCAGACTCCCTATAAAATCTTTATTGGTCACATTTATATATACATTCTTTGACCAAATCCACATTAGAACCGGATATATACTCAGTCATGTGATTCCATAACATCTACTGAATCACTTGATTATCAACATGCCGTGTTTTCATTTAATTCATATTACTGAATATTAGACACATATCCAATCAAGTTCAATTGCTGAATATATAGGGTGTGGTAGAAATGCCTCTCATATAATGGTAAGACATAAGTAGCCATGGTGTCTTCATCCAGCTAATGTCTTACCATTAATCTCCTTCAAAGTAGTCTCCTTCTGAATTCTTATACTTTATCCAGAATCATCTCCATTGATGGAAGCATTGTTAAAACTCCTTTTTGAGGATAGCAAGCAGCTATCCCATCACATTATTTTGGATTTCCTTACCATTTTAAAATTTTGTTCCTTTCAAGTGGAATTTGACTTTTGGAAAGAGGAAAAAGTTGCAAGGAGCAAAGATCTAAGGAATATAGTGTTGTCAGACCTGGTGAATGTTTTCCTTGAACAAAAACTGCTGCACAAGCTGTTCTGAATGGACAGGTGTGTTGTCATGGTGGAGTTACCACTCACTGGACACATTCAATTCTGTCCTTTTCTAACAGCATCCCACAATTGTTGCAATATATCACAGTAATACTCTTTGTTTACTGTCTAATCAGGTGAAACATACTGATGATAAATGATGTTCTTGTCGTTGAAGAAAACTATCAAACATGCCTTCACATTACTTTGACTCATTTGGGCTTTCTTTGGTCTCAGAAAGGTTGAGGTATTCTACTGCAAAGACTGAGGCTTGGTTTCGTGGACATAGCCATAGACCCATGATTCATCACCTGTTATAACAGTTTCCAAAAAAGCTTTCATCTTCCTCAAGGAGATCCTGCACAACTGAAACTTGGTCAACTGAAAGCAGTTTTGACAAAAAAATTGACAGACAGGTGTCTCATACCCAAATCTTCAGTTAGAATGGACTCAACTGAACCATAACTAATGTTCACATCCTCTGACAACTCATACATGGAGATTAGTGGTCTTTCCAAACAGCTGCACACTCATCTGTGATGTTTTCATCAATTCTACTAGTTGTGGGTCATCCAGAATGTGCGTCACTGGTGACATTTTGTTGGCCATCTCGGAAACATTGAACCACTCATATACTAATGTCTGACTCGTACATTCCTTTCTATACTCTTTCTGCATCTTTGCATAGGTGTCTGTGCAGGTATCACCAAGCTTTTGGCAAATTTTGATGCAGATTCTCTGGTCAATTTACTCTGCCATGGTCACTGATGGAATCTCTGGTGTAATGAGATGACCACACTCTACACACTTTCCTTTCAAGCACTGCTATAAACAATGGAAGCAAGGACATTATAACTGAGTGTGTATGTGCGACAGAGTTCAAGGTCAATCTGTTCCAAATGGCTTCACTCTGGGTACTTTATCTCCACTACCATAGCAACAATCCGGATGCTTTTTGATCAGACTTTGTATATGTCATGCTAAATATATCTATCTAAATTTAAAAAAGGGACCTGATTTGAGCATCCAGGCATGCAATGTATCAACTAGCCTAGGATTTTGCTTCTTGAACAACATGCTAAAATTAACTTGTAAATATTATGTTAGATAGAATGCACAGATACTATACTGATCCTAGGTTTATATATGTTTATAAATAAAATGTTAAAATAATCTTAAATTGTTTTCCTTACAAATATCTTTTTTCAGGTTTGCTAATTTGATTTTTATGAATAGCACTAGCCTAGAAAAGTTATTTTTTTGTCATTTTTAACTGTGACACAACGCTTCCGTTGATATGTCTTTATGAAAACTTATATTGTGTGTGTGTGTGTATATATATATATATATATATATATATATATATATATATATATATATATTTTATTTTTTTCAAGATGTATGTCTTTATGAAAGATTTATGAGTACTGTCTATGTCTGTTTTCAAGACACCTTAAAATGCCATTCCCTAGCATTTGTTAGAAACTAAATACAATATGATCTATTTTGTGACATATTTTTATGTGTTGTAGGTGTCATTTAGCTTAGTATTGCATAATATTCATGAGAAATTGCTGACAGTGTCTTTATGGTTGTTTATTTCCAATAAATGAGTTTCATATTTTTACAAAATGGGCCAGTACAGCCAGGCAACAATGCTATTGCAGAGCAGCAGTGAAAGTGTTAAACAATATCAAAGTGAATATTTATCACTTATGTAATCACTTGTATCTTCTCATGTGTAAATATGTTTTTAATTCTTTCACCCCAAACAAAGCAAGAAAGTCACTAACGATGCAAGGGGTGACTGTGTGTTAGAGAATATGAGAAAAAATTACTATTAAGGAGATAGGACAATAAAAGAACAAGAATTAAGAAAACAGAAGATAATGTTTGACATTGCATTTAAAATTTTGAAGATCAAAGTTGATTGGGAAGCAAGAAATCAGAAGAAAGTTCCACAAGTGAGGAGTGCAATAGAAGAAACTGTTAAAATAGAACTTAGTTACATCTAGCTATTTAAAGTGTACAATGATGAAACCTTGTCACCAATTTAGTACTGTGCTTAAATTCATAAAGTCTAGGTATCATAGAGGAAAGTTCATCAGAACAATTACCATGGAAGTATTTATAGAAAAGGCACAGGGAAACTGTTACAGTGGTGAGAAAGGGATTGAAGACAAAATGCTAGGTCAGGACCTATAACATTGCATATTCTTCTTTTAGATTTCATCAAGAATCTCAAAATATATAGCAGGAGCACCAGACCAGATGTGGCAGCAATATTCAAAACACAAGACAAATGGTACACTTATAAATATCTAAGATAGATTCTAGTAAGAAAAATTGTCTAGCACAAAATATAAGTTTTAGATATATAACAAGTGGTATCAAATCTGTTTTTTATTATTATTAGGACCTTGAATAAGTTCTTGCTGTTTTCCAACAGATGGTGTTCCCAAAACTCTGTGTGTGTAGTTTCAGATAGTAACACATCTATAAGGAAGCTTGAAATTCAGTGTATGTCATTTCACCGAAGTATAAACAACTTTGTTTGTCATATCATTAAACATGTCAGATTTCATGCCAAAGAAAGTGTATTTTGGGGAATTTTACTGCACTATTTTATTCAAAAGAAATCTGCAGCTGAAGCACACCGAATTCTTGTTGAGACTTATGGTGACTGTGCTTTGTTGGAAACAACATGCAGAGATTAGATGCTTCAAATATAATGATTTTGATGTTGAAGATAAAGAATGCTCTGGTGCACCAAAAAAGTTTAAAGACAAAGAATTGGAGGCATTACTTCATGAAAACTCATGTCAGGTGCAAGCTGAACTTGCAGAATCATTAGGAGTTGATCACATGACAATTTTGAAACATTTGAAAGCATTAGAAATGATTCAAAAGCAAGGACATTGGGTGCCATATGAGTTGAAGGCAAGATATGTTGAATGACATCTTGTTATGTGCGAACAGCTGCTTCAACATCACAAAAGGAAAGGTTTTTTTGCATCATATTGTGACCATAGATGAAAAGTGGATACACTACAATGACCCTAAGTGTAGAAGATCATGAGGTAAGCCCAGCCATGCATCAACATCAGTAGCAAAGCCAAATACAAATAGTTTATTAGGAGCTGCTCAAACTGACTGAAACTGGCTGAGCAGCACTTTCATTCTTATGAAGGTGCCAAAAAATAGATTGACTCATGACTAGCCTCAAAAGATGTATAATTTTTCCAACATGAAATTCAAATGCTGCCAGAAAGATGGGAAAAAGTAGTGGTTAGTGATAGACCATACTGTCAGTGACAGGTTTCTTACTAAATTTTGTAAATAAAACATTACTTTTCATGAAAAATCAGCAAGAACTTATTGTCAGGGCACCATCAATATTTGATGTACTGTTTTTTTATCATATGCATTAGAGGAATTTTTATTTATTTATCTCCAGGGCTTTTTAACATATACCTTTTATATTATAGTTCTATTCAGAATCTATCTAATCATTTTGAATATTTCAAGAACCATTTGTATGGCAATCAATGAGAGAAGACTTCACTGTGCATATTTGAAAAAACACTTTTTGGTTTCTCAATCAGCAGTAAGAAACTATTAATTGACCTTGTGTGTTGTCTGACCATTGCATTCACAAACTTGTGCAAAGGTTTTTGGCAAAACACATCACCCAGATCTGCCTGTTCTCTAAAGTCTAGTTTTGGCTCCCTGCAACTTGTTTTTTCCAAAGTTAAAATTGCCATTAAAATACTACAGGTAAGATGTAGCAGCTGATGGTAATCCCAAAAGA